GATTTAATTAATTCTATTGCGGACTCCATTGCAGTTCCATTGTAGGATAGTGAGAAGTTCTTGATTGTGATTATCCATCTTGAGGTTGTTTGTCATCAGGTGCGCTATGTGCAGTGTTATGTTCACTTGTGTTATGTATTCCATGCTGACTGGCGGTAGTGTGCATTGGTGTTGCTGCATTGTGCACCGGTGCTGTTGCATGGTCTGATATGTTATCATCGGGCTCCTGTCATTTACCTTGCTCCAGGCTCTGGCTTTCTGGACCTGATGATACCTGCTTTCGCAGGATATCGAGAATTTGTTCCTGGGAATTTTTGATCGGGCTAATGGCGGTCTCAAGTTCCGTTTGCTTGCGTATTATTTGTATGATAAGTGGATGATTCCGTATCACTAGATCAAATATGGCTGTGATACGAGTCAGGGTGGGGTCCTCCGGGGGCGACAAGTGGTGGGCTGGATTGTGGGGTAGAGTTGGTGCCTGGTGCGCTTGGAGGGGGGGGGGGGGGGGGAAAGTCTTGTTCAGAGGAACGGGGATGGGGGAGGAGGATGTCCAGGCGGCTGCCGTTCCAGCTGCTGATGTTCTAGCTGTTGATGTTCCAACTGATGATGTTCCAGCTGCGGATGTTCCAACTGGTGATGTTCCAGCCGATGATGTTCCATCCGATGATGTTCCAGCCGATGATGTTCCAGCCGATGATGTTCCAGCCAATGATGTTCCATCCGATGATGTTCCAACTAATGATGTTCCAGCCGATGATGTTCCAGCCAATGATGTTCCAGCCGATGATGTTCCAGCCGATGATGTTCCAGCCGATGATGTTCCAGCCAATGATGTTCCATCCGATGATGTTCCAGCCGATGATGTTCCAACTAATGATGTTCCAGCCAATGATGTTCCAGGTGATGATGTTCCAGCCGATGATGTTCCAGCCGATGATGTTCCAGCCGATGATGTTCCATCCGATGATGTTCCAGCCAATGATGTTCCAGCCGATGATGTTCCAGCCGATGATGTTCCAGCCAATGATGTTCCAGCCGATGATGTTCCAGCCGATGATGTTCCAGCCAATGATGTTCCAGCCGATGATGTTCCAGCCAATGATGTTCCAGCCAATGATGTTCCAGCCAATGATGTTCCAGCCAATGATGTTCCAGCCAATGATATTCCAGCCAATGATGTTCCAGGTGATGATATTCCAGCCAATGATGTTCCAGCTGCTGATGCTCCAGCCGCTGATGTTCCAGCTGATGATATTCCAGCTGACAAGGTTCCTGGTATATGTTAATGTATTATTCTCTACATTATTAGTATTATTACATACTTTACAGTTCTATTCCAGTCTTATTTTGTGGCCCATTGTTGTTTTGTTACCATTATCTATTAATGTATTCTACCATTGTTTTGGATTATTTCCGCCGCTTTTCGCGCCTGCTCTCTGGAGGGCCCGTCCTGTAACGGGTTCTCAGTCCCAGTCCTACTACTGGGAGGAAGTATTGTGAGAAGTACCTACGGGCTCACCATAGCCCGTGCTACTTGGAACTGCTTGTTCCAAGTAGCGAATCTTTAACAACAACAAGTGAGATTTCTTCCATTCTCTAATGGTTCTAGACAACGCAGGGGCGCCGGGTTGCAGCCGCCCAGCGCCTACGTTATTTGTTACTCTATATATATTCATTATTTATTGTACTATATTATAGTATCAATGTTAATTCATATTATTACCGTTATTATTCAGTACTATTTTACTATGAGCATAAACTATTATTACGGGTTTTTGGCGTTACTATTTACTTATTTTAACTCCTACTCCGTGGCATTTTTGACGTTATATCTGTTATTTTCCTATATTATTTTATATTATTAATATTATATTCGTATTACAGTTAAGGATCAGTAGTATTATTGGTGTCGATTTAACTTTGCCTCAGATCTACAAGATCTTGTTGAAGTTCTCGGTGTACTGCTGCTCTCAGATTGCTCATTGACAATCCAAGGTTACACTCAACGGCTCCTTTAAAGGCAGTTATTTGGCTAACTTAACAGCTCTATCATGCTTTCGGAGTCCAACATGAGATGGAGACCAATTGTAGTGGACTCTGCTCCATCTTTAGTAATTTTATTGTATTTGTGTTTAGTTCGGACACAAGCATGTTACAGTTATGCTCTAAAGAATTTTATATATATTTAATATACTGTACTATTATATATATATATATATATATATATATATATATATATATATATATATATATATATATATATATATATATATATATCGATTCCATGTTATATTTATTGATTATATATAGATATGATTTATTGTTTTATTTTATTATATTTGATCATATTTGATTTGAGTTATTACTTGATTGATTTACTTCTGGCTTAACTTCTGCCTTTGTTCCCAGCTAAGGTATTTAGTTACTCTTCCTCTCGCTGAAGTTTTACTAGTATTGGCAGTTACCTTACTTTGCTACAGTAGTTATTAAGTAAAATCTTTTCTCCTCCTTTCTCCAGCTGATTTCTCTGTGCCAGTGTTTCTACTTGGGGTATCTTCCAGGATTTATTTTTTAAGGACTTTTCCAGTTTTGCATCCGGGAACCCCCCCCCCCCCCGGGCATCCCCTCCCCCTCTTACAGCCTATTTCCAACAGAACCCTTAAAGGGTAGGTCTTATTGCCCGTCCCGTTACCACTACATGCCCGCTTCTGCCCACCCTTACTGCCTTAATACTTCCAGAACTGACTACAGGACGCGCACGAGGAACACCGTCGATGAACGAGGAAAACGGGATGGAGCCCGAGGGCAGATTACTGAGCCCATGCTTACTGTGTGATAGACCCTGGGAAGATGACCTATATGCTATCTTGTTGCCACCTCCCTCACCGCCATGGGGCGGGCTGCAGCGACAACGACGGCCACGGGGTCGACCCTGTGGAGTCGGCCTCGGTATAGACAGCTTTCCACTTCCCACACCCGCCCTGGGGCCAGCCTCGCTGGACTGGTCTCTGTGAGGGCGGGCTCCAGCGACGAAGACATCCACGGGGTCGACCAGCAATACGATATGATGCACAGCGCTCCGTACTCGGGTGTAAAACACCCGGAGTAAGGTCACTTTGCAAGGACACTGTATAGTGGCCTTCCTTGCCCCTCTATGCTCCGTGGTTCGTCAAGACGATGCCCGTCCTCTTACGGCACGACCGATCATGGCGCTCGGCAGATGGAAGAGCGATGCGTTTACCTCCTACGTCAGACGGGACGTCATTACACTCCCTCGCCGATTTTTATTATTAACATCTTTATTGACAAAATTAATTATAATTTTGCCTAATCTGAGGATTTTGATTAAGTCTTATTAAAGTGAGGATAATGCTGGTATTCACTGTCACGCAGGACAGAGGGTCATACATAAGACAATAGGTCTAAACTGTAGGCTGAAGCACATATAATCATGGTTACAATCAATGTTTTAATGTGTGGATATGTGAAAACAACTTTCTATTGTGCACTGCCACACAAGGCAGGGATGGGTTCATAAGTGATACAGCTTAGAAGTAATATAAATAAAAATTGTTCTTCATTCTTTAAAATGGACAAGCAAATTTTGGGTAAATTGTTAGGATGTCGTCCAGACACCTGAGTCAATAAAATAGTTACACAGTTGGTGGTACAAGAGGCAAGAGGTCTAAAGTCCTTTACGGTTTCACATTCATCAATATAGTGTTCTAGTGAATGCATTAAAGGTTTATCACAGAGTTTACAATCTGAGTATTCTGGTAGTGGCTCAGCCTCACTAACCTGCCAGATGTGTCTATAGCCAAGGCGAATTACCACAATGACTACATCACATTGCCTGGTCCGGTTACTGTGCTGACCATACAAATACCTATTATTGCAAAACTTGTCAAAACTTTTAATACTGCAGCTTTCAGGTCTCTGGGCATTTCTTAGTTCTTTTAAATCTGAATTAATTTCTTTAATTTGTATGTTTCTAATAATTGCATTAGATAATCCAAAGTCATAATCAATGTTTTCTTTCCTGCAAGCCTCATTGGCCAATCGATGTACAAAGTCATGTTTTCCAACTCCAACATGGGATGGGATCCACACAAATTTTATACAAGAGTTATTATCATTGGCAAAAATTACATTCCATTTAATATTACAAGCTACTTCCGACATACGTTGCGATGGGTTATTTAAGGACTGCAGAGCACTTTTAGAGTCACAGAAAATAACTCCACCACCATTGAGCTTAAGGTATTCAGTGGCTAGATAAATGCCCAATAGCTCGGTCTGTGTCGTGCTTGCCCAGTTGTTCAATCTCTGTTTACTAGTCATGATCATTTCATTCCCTTTGTACACTGCACATGCACAACCTGTTCTACCAGTGTCTAACTGCACAGAGCCATCAGTAAAGGCATAGGATTCAGTCGGTTTCAGAATTTGAAGATGACTGTCAATAGCTTCTAATGTTATACTTCTCAAAATGTCAGTGTTATACATTTGTCTTACACTGATGGGGGTATAATGCAGAGAGACCTCCACATCTTTCCAAGGGAGAATATGGTGAACAGTTTTATCAGGGTTAAAAGACACATTCAGTTTCTGAAGATTATAGGCACAACAACTGAGCCACGCACTGTAGGGAACTTTTTGCGGCAGATTGAGGGAACAGTCAGAATTGTTTAGAATGGATCTCAATTTAATTTGAGTAGAGCTGGGGGGACCATTTTTTTCAAAGTTTTGGCACAAAACATAGTACTAAGTAGAACTATTCTTTCGCAAATGGAAGGTAAGTTTAGTTCCTTTCTCATGTTAACAATTCTGACAGTTCTAGGACAACCCAGGATGATGCGCATGGCATCATTCTGTACTACATCTAGGCCTTGTAATTGTTTAGGAGAAAAACAGTCTCCGTGGCGTAGTGGTAAGACACTCGCCTGGCGTTCCGCGAGCGCTATGTCATGGGTTCGTATCCTGGCCGGGGAGGATTTACTGGGCGCAATTCCGTAACTGTAGCCTCTGTTTAACGCAACAGTAAAATGTGTACTTGGATGAAAAAACGATTCTTCGCGGCAAATGATCGTATTCCAGGGACCATAGGATTAAGGACTTGCCCGAAACGCTACACGTACTAGTGGCTGTACAAGAATGTAACAACTCTTGTATATGTCTCTAAAAAAAAAAAAATGAAGAGAATGGGGAATAAGAACCCTTGTTTTATCAACAGAGATTATGAGGCCACATTCTACTACTTTCTTGGAGAATGCATCAAGTAACATTTGTAGCCTTGGTTTACTGTGTGCCATAATACAAATATCATCAGCATAACATATAAGTTTCCGTAGGTTGTACAGGTGTGTCATGGATAAGTTTGTGCATAAGTATATTGAAGAGAATAGGGCATAGGACACCACCTTGAGGTGTGCCTAGTTCGAATGCATCTGTTCTTGTACTTTTAACTCCTTTAAATAGGACACTAGCACGCCTGTTGGATAGGTAGCTCTTTATCCAACTCAGAAGATTACCTTTGATTCCAAATTCAGCAAGTTGCTCTAATATTATTTCGCCATTCGCTACATCGAAAGCTGACTTTAGGTCAATAAAGGCTGCCTGTGTCCCATCCTGGGAGTTTACAAAATATTCAGCAAAGCATGTTTGTGTGCTACACTTGGGCATGAACCCATATAGGTTAGGGGCTAGTTTTTCTTTGACCTGAAACATGACACGATTGAGAACAATTCTCTCCAAGACTTTACACATGCAAGATGTAAGGGAAATGGGTCTGAATTTTTGAGAGTTAGGTTTAGGAATTGGTATTATGAGATTTTGTGTCCATTTCTTTGGCAAGATACCTTGTGAGAGACTCATTTGATAGAGGTCAAGCAGAGGGTGGCTAGGGACATCATTCAGTAAGCTCAAGATGTTATAAGTTATACCATCCTCACCAGGGGCAGTTTATTTAGGTTTTCCTAATGCTGATGTTAATTCAAAGGGGGTTATAGGAAATTGATCTGTTAAATCTGGTGAGGAGCGTGCTATTTCAATATTAAAGTTTCTGTTAATGTTGGTATATCTTAAATGCTGCTGTATATCTGGGGGTAAGGAAGAAATTTGTGAGACACTAGACCATTGAGCTAGGAGCATGTCAGCATATTCTGCAGGAGTATGATGAAGCTGAACTGGGGCTGAAGGTTTGGTAATGTTTTTAATTTTGTTCCACATTTCTGATAATGTTGTAGTTCTATTGATACCTTGCAGGAATTGTTCCCAATATGTGTTC